ATTCACGCCTTGTTGTTTGATACTTGCTTCACCTTTTATCTTATCATTTCCTTCAATCAAGCTTTAAATGTTCTAGAAATTGAAAGTATTAAATTCAAAAATCCAAACAAGAGTACATCAAGGCCGTGAGAGATGTCCGCCGTCGTCTGCTGTTCTTTCCTTATTCTGCTTCCTACTCTTTCTAGACAAATAGATGCGCGCTCACATGTTTCTTTTTCTAGCTTCAGGGCCGTGTTTGCAACAAATTTCTCTCAATTCAGAATATTTTATTTAATAGTTTTGAAACTTGAAAATTCATGTATGTATTATTAATAACCCAGAACAGATGATAGAATCTGACAGTTGAAAGAAATTAACAATCAAAATAACTAATTTTTATCTTTTCAAATTTTGATTAATTAAAATTTTTCATCAATGATTAAAGCATTAAAATTTTTTGGTAAATATGATTTTGAATAATTCGAAAATTAAATTAATTAGAATTTAGAAAATTTAAGTTTCGATCAATAGAAGTTATTAATAAATTTGTTTTGACCAAAAAAAAAAATGGAAATTGAATGAATATTGGATAACTTGAAATGTAAATTAATATATATTTATATTAAATTGAAATTAGAAACTAAACAAAATAAAAACATTCATAACTTCTAAATAACAAGTTGTAAAGAAATTTTTATTCATGCATTTAAAAATTAAAAGTATGTTCCTTTAGTAACATTTTATATTCATATAAAAATTCATGAATGCCGGATTTAAAAATTATGAATGTTTTTGAAAGACTATTACAGTAAAAACCAGTTTATCCGGACAAATAGGTGCAAGCAGTTGTCTGGATATGCGAAAATCTGGATAATCGAAATTACAAAACACAAAAAATTTTCTTTATATAAACTTTGGTATGTATTTATTTACAAACATTGAAAAAAAGAAATTCTTAAATACTATATAAATATATACATAAATATTTAGTAAAAATTATTTTAGAAAAGTTTGCATAAATATTTATTGTAAATTTTTAAATAAAAATGCCTATAATCATTGAAGAAAAAAATTAAAACGAAATGAAAATTTGTCCGGATAATCGAAAATCCGATTGATGGAGGTCCGGATAAACGAGTTTCTACTTTACGGTACAAAAAGTTTCGTTTTTCGCGAAACCGACTATAGGTGTTCGAAAATTATGCAAACGTTCAATTATATAAAAATTTTATAATTATATATATATATATATATATATATTAAAGGGGCACTCGCAGTTGTAACTTTCAAAACTAGGTGTTCATGACCATTTAGCTTCCTCATCATGATACACTTATACATATTCAAGATTAAAAGAAGGATTACAACTAAAATAGCGATCAATTTTACAAATATTGGTGAAATGTAAACTTTATATGCATCAATCGATTTGTTTTCATGTCAGGAATACAATTTTGACAAGAATTAATTAAAATTTCTATATAAGAAAAAGTAATTTCAAAAAATTGAATGAGATATATAGGCTGAAAGGGAGGCGCGTCAGGTTGGTCGAGAACATGCTAACGGGCGTGTGGGTCTTTATACCCTTATATTTGAATTGGATTTTGGAAGCAGCTTCATCTGCGGAAGAATTATTATATGGTCCAAGAATTAATGATTCTATCTGATTTCAAAAAAAAATTCCATCTTCATGTAATAGTAAGTTAAAACTTTAAACACGTTTTTCTCAAAACTACATTTTTGAAGTCGGTGACCACACTTACTTGTACGAACGTTAAACTTTGACAGGTCGCGATTTTGTCAAATATATATATATTTTTTTAAAATCTTTCCGTCAAGGATTAGATAATCTTTCAATAAATGTAAATCCGTTTGAATTTTTGATTTCAGATGAGCCAGAATTCCATAGTGTTGGTCACCGCAAATCATGTTTTTTAAAAGGACATCATTTCGACAGGATATAACTTTAAAAATATTTAATATTTTTAACTTTTTTTTTTAATTCATGTTGAATATGTATACTTTTAAATAATAAATTGATATTTTAAAAAAATTTAATGGTGTACGAGAAAAAAATTCATAACAAAGGTTTATTTTTTGGCGCTAAAACTGCGTGTGCTCCCTTAATTAATAATATTAATTATATAACCGTTTTTATGTATGTAATTTTTGTGTTGAAACAATAAAATTAACAAAAAATATAATGGGCATATCTCTAGAACTTTTAAACTTTTAGGTATTATTAGAAAACCGAGGGGGAATTTACTCAGGTAGTCAAGTGTACACTCTTCCTGTAATACTTGTGTAATATCATGTAATACCGTGTAATAATGCGTTATTACGGTACTGTAATAACGCAAAAAAGTCTGTAATATCTTTGTAATAACGTGTAATACTTAGTAATAAGGGTAATATGAGGTGTATTACTGGTAGTCAAGTGTACACGTTTTTAACTATAGTAAATTCCCCCTCGTAGAAAACTTAATTTTTTTCAAGGAACATTCTGGAAACTAATTTTATTGTCTCCAGTATTGAACAAATAGCAGAATAAAATTTCCCAAGTTTGAATTGTCTAATTTTTTGAATCAAGTACACAAAATTTTGAAGTTCAAATTTCTAGATTTAAAATATCGAATCAAATATGGCCGACTCGTTTTTTAAAAATTCTTCGATTTTCATAAAATTTGGTATCTAGGGGTTTCTGAAGTCACTGAATACAAATCTGAAATTAATTTTCAAAACTTTTGAATGTCAGTTCTAATTATGAAATGAATTAGTGAAAATTTTTTTTTTTTAAACCTGATTAAGAGTTTTTGGGGTTGATGTTGATTAAAAATTAGAAATCAAAATTTTTTTCTTTAAATCTTTCGCACTTTTTTTTGTATTTATAAAATTTTAATTTTTTTTCATCATTTAAAGTGTCTTAAAACTGACTTGAAATTTGTATTCAGCGACCCCAAAAACCCTTTTGAAATAAAAATGTATTAAAATTCGAGAATTTTTTAAAATCTTTGTCTGACATTTAAAATTTTTTAAAAGTAACTTCAGATTCGTCATCAAAAGCCTCTAAAACCCATAAACAACAAATTTGATAGAAATCCGTTAATTTATTACTTTATATTCTTCGCGAAGCATAAGTGTCACCATAGAAGCTCATATACTTTATATGGATAGTTAATAGGTTAACGATTTTCCTATATATTTTTATAATATATAAGAAGAGATTACAATGAGTTAAAAGTGTTTAGAAGCTGAATTCAAAATGTGCCATCTTTTTAAGTCATCGAACTCCTTATGTACAGGTGGCACACCTTCGGGTACGGGTTCAAATTACTTTTTATTGAGTGGATAATATGTTCCCGTTGTGTGGTTTCTCAAAAACCTGTTAAAAAAGTTATACCAGGTTGATTGCTAAATTGTCCAATTTTAAATAAAGTTGTCACTCAAGTTTGAAGGTATATAATTTTATTTCTACGTTAGGCACATCATTGTTTTAAAAATTTTTCATTCATTTACGCTCCTAGCTACTTCTAATATAAGCCATATAGCATACAATGCTTCGTTAAAAAAGTTATACTGTTTAAACTAAAAAAACCGTCATTGGCACACGCACGTGAATCTGTCGAATTCGTTACTTTAACTTACACTCATCGGTTCTTACCCTATTATAATAATTATTAAACACATACATTTAAAGTGCACAATAATTTATTAAATTATGGTATTGCAAAATTATTTTTACAATCTGTAAAGTATCATAATGAACATAAAGTTTAAAAGTTCTATAGATACGCCCTAATATATTCTTATAATAATATATTTATTTACTTATTTACATTTACCAACTCTTCATACGTTTATAATTTTTTTACAGAAGGATTTGAATTTTCATTTTATCATAATTATGTTTAAATGAAAGTTTAGATAAAACAAGAATGATTTGATTAATTATAATTCATCGAATCTTTCATGTTTTATCTCAAGAGTACCAACAAAAAGTTTTGGCAAACAAGATTCTGTTAAAGTGATCTCATCTATCGAGGAAATTCCTTCTCGTTTTATCTGTTGGTTTTTATTGAACAATTTTGGTTTACTATTTTCCCCTGGAGTCAACTCATCTGACGAGCCTAATATTTCTTCCTTTATTCCAACAGCTTCACATAAATTTGGTACAAAATCTTCTGATAGAGTTAACTCGTCCGTCGAATTTACTTTTTCCAATTGTATTTCAAAATTTTTATTTTGTAATTTTGGTACAAAATTTTTTCTTAGCGTTGACTCGTCAGGAATATTATGTTTAGTATACTTTATTAAAAAGTTTTTTTACATTAGGCTGATTTAATTGATTTAAAGGTATGTCTGCACCCAGAAACATTGCACACAAATCTAGATTAAATTGTAATTGTGCTGCGCTTCGAGACGTACGTCCGTGTACTTCTTTATTATGGTTTTTGCTTAACAGTTTATTATTTTTAATAATAAATTCATAATTTTTGAAATGTGTTATACACTGAAAAAAATTCCTAACCCCCGTATGCCAGGAATTGACTAATTTGCCTGGTTACGAGAGGAACCCACTAGGCAATCTTGGTCAAAGTCGATTTCGATACATGTCTTATTAACCAACCATCTTAGTTAATATAACTAGTAAACAAGGGGTCAATTCTACTAAATCGACTTTGACAATATTAACCAAGCTACATAACTGAATTGACTAGGATGCTTGGTTACGCTGACTAGATTTAAAGTTGCTATGGTTAATAGTCATTAATGCGAAGCAAATTTTTTTCAGTGTAGATTTTAAATGACGTTTTAAATCATATCTTCTCTTATATCTTATTCTTTCTCTGCAATAGATGCAAACTAATTCTGAATCAATAACTTCAAAAGTATATTTAAATTCTTTTCTACGTTTCTCTAGCAGAGAATTACTCATTGTTCAGCACTACTGAAAAAATATTAAAAGAAATGCATACTGTTGTCTAAATTTCTCAAATGACTGTTAATATTATCGCATGATAGACGTCATAAAAATAATCTTTAATATTACAAAAATATAGTATTAAACACATATAAAGGCTTCAAAAATCAAAAATGATTCACATGAATGTTAAATATGAAGATGACCACTGTAGAAACTTATGGTGACACACTACACCACAACATGACTAGAGAAGTGGATACATATTCATCTGTGATGTCCGTAACTCATACATTGGCACCTACGTAGATAATTGAAATTACATTAATAAATTTTAATAAAACAGTAAATAATTTATACTTCCCAGATAGCACAATTTAGGTGTACAATCATGAATGTACCAGAGGACAACATGGAACTTAGAAAATGAGTAGAGCTCTCCTGAGAGTAATATTGTCAAACTCTCTTTAAATGAATTTCTAGTTGTTTTTATTCGTTCGATTACAGCTGTTTTGACAGTTATTTATTAATGTAATCACGGTAAGTTGCATTTCAGGTTCTGTTGTTAAAATATGAAGCATGATTTTCCAAATGTCCGTTTGCGGAACTACATAATTAATGATAAATACAAACAAGTTGTAAATTCAGATATTCACTACATGAACATTATGCTTCCTCTTTACGATCAGCAAAAAAATTTGCTTTCTCGTGGAGAAAGCATTAACATTAAAATAAACATACATGAATAATATATTAATATAAACATTTGAGGATACAAAATTTTTTAGCTAAAATGTGAATTTTTGATATTTTAACTTTCATTAATTCTTTAAATTTAAATCAAATCTATACTTTATATAAACCAATTGATTCGTCTTGACGTAAAGAATACGATTTTATTATATATCACCTTAAATTTTGCTATTTAAAAATTTTTTCGATTAAAAAAAAATTTTGGAAAAAAGACGATAAAATTTTTTTTTGGTTATTTTTTAAAATCCTTTCGTCCATTTTGAGATATTAATGTGATAAATAAGCATACCAAATTTTACCCAAATCCCATGAAGTAGGATAAGGAGAGGTAACGCCTGTAGCCAATCGCTAGAAAACTTGACACCATATAGGGGGGACCACAGTAGTACGACTTTCTATTTTCCTACTGTTGACAGCGCTTGCGGTGGGAAATATTTGAATTATATTTTATCACGTGACCTACCGCGAAAAGAGAAACATAACCTGAATGTTTCACATGGTGTTTTTGTTGTTAAAATTCAGTCGTTTGTTTTACACATGAAGTATTTCAGTAATGTGTTAGTGTTTTGAAAAATGAAGAGTTGTTTTATAAAGCATTGCGATTCGGGTTCGAAAACCCAAATAAAAAGAGATGGTTGTGTTCGAAGTTTTTTTAAACCTTCCATGGTAAGTAGAATGAAATTGTTTATTATTTTTTTATTACTCATGATATTATTATGTAAATAATAAATAATGTTAATTATATTTCTTATTTCGATAGAAAATGTTAGCAACATGGTCAGAGGCTATTCGAAGATTTGACAAAACTATGAATGTAACTCATAAGCTGAATAATAAATTCCAGTGTCAATATTAAACTATTATTTGATTTTTAAAATATTTCTGACATTTTACAGTTAATGTATTTGCATAATACCTTCATATTTATTAACTTAACCTAACGTTGTAAACAGCTGACTTGCAGCCATGTTGCAGACGATAAATTTTAATTCTTCGCTTTCCCCAAAGGAGCGCTCGCGACATTAGGAAAAAAGAAAGCCTACTACTGTGGTCCGTCTATCTGAGGGCCAATGAATATACGCCGTTACCTCTCCTTATCCTACTTCATGCCAAATCCATTAAAACCTGTTAAGGTTATGTTGTGTTTACAAAAAAGGGGTCCACACATGCATACTTACATACATCCGGAAAATTGATAAGGATCTCATATAACATGTTTCTATATAGAGAAAAATTTGTTTTCGCCATTTTGAAAATTTTTATAAACGGAAGGACTACAAAGCTATGAAGCAAAAAAAAGAAATTTGCATTATACAATATATAATTTATACGCTATAGAAAATGAAAAAGTAATTAGCTATAAATTCTTATACTATTTGATTTAATGATTGTCTAAATATAAGATAATTTAAATAAGCGTCCTTTAATTAATAATAATAAAATTTAGGATTCATTTGTAGTTCTCAAAGTGGTAAAATTTATTAACAAAACTGAGAATTTCTGGAAAAACTACATTTCTTTCGGAATAGACATTGAACTCGCTTATGCCTGGTTTCAAGTAAATAAATTTTTCGTCAGTTTCTAATTCTGAAAAATCATTATTTTTAATTTTTATATCTTTCGCGAAAAGTTCGGGTCCATCTTCAACAAAAATTTTGTTCATTGTCGAATATAAACAAAATGTAAAATTTTTCTTTTTATGTTTATTATTAATTATATAGTTCTGCAAACAGACATTTGGTTTTCTTATTTTAACAACATAACCTGAAATACTACTTACCGTGATTATATGAATCAACAATAATAATAACTAACTGTCAAAACCTGTAATTGCGAATCAAATAGATCTAATTACTTGTGTAAATTATTTATAATATCTGGTTATAATAAAAAATTTGTTTCTCACCTTTTATAACGACTCTTGTTAAATTTTTAAAAACATGAATGTTTAATTGAATGGTGAATTTCGAAAAGGGCTTAACTCGAAAAAGCGTGTCATTTTCGCATAACAATTGATAGTGAAAATGACTCTTAGCCTTTTTAGAGTTGAGCCCTTTTCGAAATTCACCATTCAATTAAACAGTGCATACATGTCATGAAGTAGTATAAGGAGAACTCACTGCTGTTAAGCATATACAGGCGAACCTCTCATAAGACAACCTCTAATTTTCTTTCTTTCTATTGTTTAAATGACCTTTTGTATTAAAAAATAGCCAGTACTAAACCTCTAACTTGTAACTTTTAACTCCTATGCAAGAGGACTAGCTCCTACGATAATTCATAGGGATAGCCTCCTGCATTTGAATAGGAAAAATTTTATTGCTTTTTCTACTACTTGTTCTTCAGATGAAATGAATATTGTTGAGATTTACCTTAACATGAATAAGTATACTAATTATATATACATATACTAATTATAATTTTTACCTTCTTTACACATCGTGAATATTTCTTTTTAATATTTGTTATTGCTTTTTTTTCAATCTTTTTGCTGTCAACCGCAATTCCTTCGATCTTTCTTTTCTTTTCTCCAGGCGTCTTTTTATTTGTCAATCTCTACAGTAATCTGTGTTACAAAATGGTTTCTGCACAAAGAAGCTGTTTTTACATAATCCCTGCCATGCTCTTGCGCACAACTTTAAGCTTGTGATTATAGTCATTGCTGAACGCAAATCCTCAAGGCATGTAATTTTTTCCATGATGAAAAATTAGAGACATAATTGTGAGCTCTAATCTAAAAATTATATTAACTAATTTAAATTGAACATCATAATTATAATTTTAACGAAATAAATTTTAAATTAACTTACTTGAATGATTATATCTTTTCATACTAAAATTTGCCTAGTTACTTTGAGAAGAACATCTCCACAACACATAAATAAAACGCCCTGCTCGATATCATCATTAATTCCCCAATTTGATGGAAAAGTTTCTGTGTTTCGTGAATTCCAATCGTTTAAGAGGTTATTTATTTCATATGTTACTTTAGTTCCTTCTGCTGTTGGACCCGAAGCAGAGAAATTATCAACCTTAACAGGATTTGATTTCTGAATGAAAATAATTTCATTAGCAACAGAAACTTGATGAGCCGAAGCAGGAGACAATTCACGTCTATTATTGGTTTTATTTGACAGAGGCCTTGACCTATCACAAGGTTGATGTTGAAGCTAAAAAATTGTATACTACAGTTATATTAATTTTAATAACCTTCGTCATAACAGCTAATTTATAAAATAAATTTAAATGGGACGTTCCATGTCAACCGGATCAGTGCTCTGTACATAATTGTATGGGATCAATTGAAACGTTTAAGGTCTTAAAATGTTCATCTCAAAGTACTTTAACATTTACAATATGGACTTTTTAAAAATCCAAAATGGCGGCCGAATTATGACACATTATATGGCTGAAATGTAGAAAATGTATAACTAAAACATTATTTAAGAAGCAAAAAATGTTTGAATTGGCATTAAATTGATCACCAACAGTGCTAGGGGTTTACAGAATCAAAAAATGCTGACACTTTTCAAAATTTTCAATAATACAAAATTGCAGATCAAAAATGGAGGAATAGTTTTAAAAATATGACTCAATTTAGTCGAAACTTAGGACTCGGGGGTTTTTGGGGTCGCTGATTACAAATCTGAACTCAGTTTTCAAAAATACAAAATGGCGGTTCCAATATGGCGGGCAGTTTTAAAAAAAATTACCTAATTCACTCGAATCTTGTGACTCGGGGGTTTTTGGGGTCGCTGATTACGAATCCGATGATAGTTTTCAAATTCAAAATGGCGGATATAATATGGCGACTAACTTTTATAAAATTAATTAAATTCACTTGAAAATTGCCACTCGGGGGTTTTTGGGGTCGCTGATTACAAATCTGAACTCAGTTTTAAAAAAAATGGCGGATTCAATATGGCGACTAAATTACATAAAATTAATTAAATTCATTTGAAATTTGCCACTCGGGGGCTTTTGGGGTCGCTGATTACGAATCCGATAATAGCTTTCAAAAATTCAAAATGGCGGATCTAATATGGCGAACTGTTTTTAAAAAAATTACCCTAAAAACCTCCGAGTCACAAGTTTCGAGTGATTTAGGTAATTTTTTTTAAAACTGCCCGCCATATTGGATCCGCCATTTTGTGTTTTTGAAAACTGAGTTCAGATTTGTAATCAGCGACCCCAAAAACCCCCGAGTCCTAAGTTTCGACTAAATTGAGTCATATTTGCAAAACTATTCCTCCATTTTGGATCTGCAATTTGGTATTATTGAAAATTTTGAAAAGTGTCTGCATTTTTTGATTCTGTAAACCCCTAGCACTGTTGGTGATCAATTTAATGCCAATTCGAACATTTTTTGCTTCTTAAATAATGTTTTAATTATACATTTTCTACATTTCAGCCATATAATGTGCCATAAATCGGCCGCCATTTTGGATTTTTAAAAAGGCCATATTGTAAATGTTAAAGTACTTCGAGATGAACATTTTAAGACCTTAAACGTTTCAATTGATCCCATGCAATTATGTACAGAGCACTGATCCGGTTGACATGGAACGTCCCAAATATATTTATAATTATTTTCAATTAATTTAATATATTAAATTCTATAACTTACCTCTTCAAAAATACATGGAATGCTGTCATCTTTTAGTACAAAGCGTTTCAATGGTATAAATACTGTGCACCCATCTTTCAATATTTTTTGAGTATCATTTTTAAAACTTTCTTTTGTAAACTGATCAGCACAAATAAACAAATTTGGTTTCTTTTCCTTTACACCTTTTCTTGCTTTCAAGTGATCGCCGATACTTTCCAGCCACAATTTCTTACGTTCCTATAAAATAAATAATTAGAAATGGTAAATTAACATTAGGATTTGACATTTACAACAACATTCATATTTGTTTCATTTAGTAATTCAGTATACTATAAATATATACAGATATGTTCAATTCTAACCTAAAAACCTTTAATATTGCCGATTTACATACTAAATAAAATTAAATCACAGATAATTATAAAGAATCTTATTATATTCGAAATAAAACATTTATTCCCTTTTCTGCAGTGAAAACATATTTATATTTTAATAAATTAAAAAAACTAACCTTATTTTTTGGAAAAGAAAACATCTGTTTCTTATTGTTATTTTCACTATTTTCACTTGCACATAAAGAACTGCTCCTGCAGTTCTTGACACAACAAATTCGCCCCGTTATTCACATTAAAAATTTCTCACTTTGATTAAAAATACTGAATATAAAAACACAGGAAAATAAATCAAGGATATAAAAATAAGGTTATTCAAGTTGGGTGTGGGAAAGCCAAGATGGATGTTTGTGCACCAGCCATCATCCATCTTGCCTTTCCCCCACCCAACTTGAATAACCTTATATGCATGTGTTAGTATGCGCAGATACTGAAATTTGTGTCACGGTCATGTATCAAAATTTCGTTGGACAGCCTACTGTTATGGAGCGGTCACACCTCGCCTGCAGGAGCAATGGCAACCATGTAAGAGTAAGAGAGATGGAAAATCTGCTATCTCTCTTACTCTTACACGGTTGCCATGGGCAACTGCTCCTGCAGCCGAGGTGTGACCGCTCCATTAGGCACACTATCTCTTCCATCCCCACCACTGCACTTTGCTCTCCTTGTTCTAGTCTTCTTGGTCTGTTCACAGAGAACATAACAAAAGCAAGGCGACCTATCTGGACACGGCAATGTAAAGGTGCTTTTATACGTCTAGTATTTTGGTCAAGCAATCGGCTGGATTGAATTTTCACGGAGAAATCACTGAATTTGATTGGCTCTAACAAAATTCAATTTTCACGGTGAAAATCTAATATTTGTCAGAGCCAATCAAATTCAGTGATACAACCGTGAAAATCCAATCCAGCCGATTGCTTGACCAAAATACTGGAGGTATAAAAGCACCTTTACATTCGGCGATAATAAAAGTTTTAGGGTACGGTCACACTATGCAGAAACATTTGGCCGGTCACACTTCAACGAAATCTAGTGAATGTTTAGTAACTTTCTAGTAATTTTCTAAAAATTTCGGTTGTAACTAGAAAGTTACTAAACATTCACTTGATTTCGTTGAAGCGTGACCGGCCAAATGTTTCTGCATGCATGCACAGTGCACACATGAGATAGTGTGACCGTACCCTAAGAATAACATTGTGTCGTCTGTTTGTTGTCCCTCCAGGCCTCTGACGTCACACCTAGAATCGACTCTGACGTCACAAGTGACAGAGCCTATCATGCTTTCCGCTTTTACGCCACCGTTTCACTTGTTCGGAAGCGCCTACGCGCCACCTTCCTTCTCCGCCTCTGCCGAGAGAAGGAGGTAACGATTTTCATGAAATTCTGCTAGGCCGTTTCCGAATTGGGATTTTTAGCGCACTTTTGATAAAGTGTATACTCGGGAAGTATTACGATGACGGTTACGTTTCTATTCTGCTCAGGCCTTTAGGTAGAGACGCTTGCTTTTAGGGTACGGTCACACCTTGGTATATAGCGAGGCTACCTGTCTATCATGTAATATAACGTATAAGAATGAGAGAAATAAAAAATGTTCTTATTTCTCTGACTCTTACACATTATATTACATGATAGAAAGGTAGACTCGCTTCTACCGAGGTGTGACCGTACCCTTAGGCCTGAGCAAAATAGAAACGTAACCTGATCGTAATCGTAAACGCAACCGGAAGAATAAGTTAGAGAAAGACAAACAATTTATCTATCCTTCTCTAACTCATTCTTCTGGTTGTGATTGCGATTCCGGTTACGTTTCTATATTCTGCCCAGGCTTTTTCACCGAATGGTTATTAGGGTTAATACGTCGATCAGACAAAATACCGTACAAAGTATCGAATCGAAAAAAAGTCGAATGGACAAAATATCGAACAGCAAAGACGTCGAACAGACAAAATGTCGAAGAGAAACTATAAATAATATTCTATCGATAATGTTAACCAGTACCTATAAAAATCTATTTATGCATATAAATTAATTTTTTTTAAACTGTTTTGTTACATTTGATGTCATTTCATTTATTATAATAAGCGGTATTATAAGCGGTAATAACAATAACATAATTATACTAGGTTTGCAATCAAAACAAATAAGCATCGTCAAAGTTTCCGTAAGATGCGGATACGGAGCACGCTACAAAGCACACTACGTGGCACGCACGAGTGGGGGTACGGTCACACTATCTCATGTATGCACTGTATGTTTAGTAACTTTCTAGCTACAACCGAAATTTTTAGAAAATTACTAGAAAGTTACTAAACATTTACTAGATTTCATTGAAGTGTGACCGGCCAAATGTTTCTGCATGCATGCACAGTGCACACATGAGATAGTGTGACCGTACCCTTATGGAGCTTCTACAATAGGTCCGAAAGGCAAGTTTGGGCAAGTGCAAGTATAAGTCCAAGTCCAATTCTCACTTAAAATATATATTTTATATCTTTTTTAATAACATGCATACTGGATATTGTTTAATAATGTTGTTAAAATGTAAAATGTTATTAGTAAACAAACACCCATAACCTCAAAATTTATATTTTATAACGAATTGAGAGAATCTATGAATGCAATTGAATCAAATATATAACAAAATTAATTATCAACACACATTTTTTCATTTTATTATATGTCAAAAAGCGTTTTCCATGTTTAAAATATGAATACAATTGATGAAAGTGGAAACTAATTTTCTTCCCATAATAATAACATTGTGTCGTCTGTTTGTTGTCCCTCCAGGCCTCTGACGTCATATCTTGAACTCGAAATATCTCGATGAACTGACACAGCCTAATGCTGATTCTCATTAAAAACTGAGCGAGCGGTCCGCTTTCCGTGACGCTTCCCATATTTAACTATATCTATATATATATAGAAAACGTAACGCACATGCGGACCGCTCGCACAGTTTTAGTTGAGTGTAGAATCAGCATGAGAACGAAAGAGATAGTGAGATATTTTCATCTCTTTCGTTTTCATGCTGTCATGGGACGGTGACTTTATTGTAGATTGCGTTGCTTTGATTTTACCATTGGTTGCTATAGCAACCAACGCAACGCATGCTCTTATGATCATATTGGAGAAACACCTTAACCGTACAATCCTGCTCATTAGTCTTCTTGTGCGCAGTACTGATTGGTACTGATTGGGTTTTGTTGAACATAAATATTACGCAATAAAGCGGTTTAAATACAAAATTTGAGATAATGAGGGCGAAATGTGAATGTAACTATGTTCAATAATCGCGAGTGATAGCTTGATAAGTTGGTGTATATCTATTAAATGTCCTGGTTACAAGAAATATATGTAGATTTTTAATCGCTCTTTCGCGGTTTCTACAGTTTCTCTTCCCGAGAAATGTCAAAATGGCGTCTTCTCAGGACGCTTGGTATCTATCGCTTTTAGGTTTAGCTGAAAATTTTCGCACTTCTAATCCACCAAACATTAAATCGTGTATACAGTGCCTCCAAGCTGTCTTCAACTTTAGACCACCTCCTCGAGTCGAAGCAAGAACGCATTTACAACTTGGAAACATCTTGCTTATACACACAAAAAACATTGAACTAGCTCGTTCTCATCTCGAAAAAGCTGTTAGTATTAATTTCTTTATAAAGTCTTATTTAATGCTCACTGTTATTCGGAATTTTTGTACTTGTTGCAATGAGAAAAGGCAAAAATACCTCTAATGAAAATTGTTAAATGGGCGACTTTGACTTTCTAACCTATTTTCTCTCTTTGGCACTTTACTGTTTTCAAAAATTTGTGTGAAAGTCGAAAGCTACATGTCGAACCTTTTAAAGGAAGAAATTTCGTTAATCCTGACGATGCTTTCTTATTTTTGTAGTGGAGGCTCAGTCAAAACATAAACACTTTCGATGACGTCAAGTTTGAAGCCGCCAGTGTTGTTGCTGAACTGTATGAACAACAACAACAATCGACTTTAAGCAAACCAATTTTGAGGAAGGCCATAGAACTATCGCAGCACAATGTCTACTGGCATTGTAGACTTATTTTTCAGTTGGCGGTACAAACTTTTATTTTAACTAATAAACAATAGATTCAATTTACGGTGCAAATATTGCATTCGAAACACAACGTTGAATGTGTTTATTATTTCGTTGTGTCGTCTGCCGAAATAAGAGAAATACACATTAACAGTTAATAAATAAGGTAAGGTACATGTTATTTGTTAATAACTTCTACATTCAGAAAAGAATTTTCATAACTAGTTCAAGTGATTCTTCATTTAGTTTCATTCTTTAAAAACCATTTGCAAAAACCAAACTTCCTAGGTATTTTAATATTTCGTTTTCTAAGAAAATTTTCCAGGTTGTAAATTTATTTTAGAATTTATAAAATTATAAAAACTCGTGAAAATTCGTCAAGCGTACCCGCCTAAAAAAAAGTTTCAAGATTTTCGTAGTGGACCTATGGTCAGAAACCAAAACTATTTTTACAAACTGCGATGGGTGGTCCAGTTATAGGGGTTCGAAATTTTGACTTTAATTTGGTACTTCTAAACTTCGCGTTAACATAATTTCTATACAACTTAAGCAAAATAATAAAATTTTGATTCTCTCACTCGGTAGTATTTAATAATTTTTATTACCTATATAGGTTTAAAATGGTTTTTTCCTCTACTTTAAGAACGTAAAGTCCAAATTTTTTAATTTAAAAACATGCCTTTTCTCTTCAAATTTTTAATTTCGATTATATATTCTTAAAGTAGAGGAAAACTATTTTTAAAGTCATATAGTAAAAGTTTGCTTGATTAAGTAGTATAGAAGTTACATTAACGCAAAGTTTAAAAGTAACTTATTTTTAATTTTTTCAGATGGGTAAGTTCGACGAATTTTTAACCATATTCAGGGAAATTGAAGAATAATTTATAGTAATTATAATTATAACCTATTCAGCTTTTTTGAAAATTTGTTACTTTTTTCACTTTTCTCATGATTCGATTAATTTCAAATGCAATATTGTAAGGTGGTCCTGGAATCCCAAAAAATATCCTCGATTATCCTAAAAATTCATGGAATTTTAACTTTCGTCTGAAATTTAAAAATTTTCAATAATTGAATATAGAATCATGACGCTTGAAGTATAGTCTCAATTTAGTGTCCTGGGAAAATCAGAAATTCATTTTAAAAAGTCCTGGAAAAGTATAGGAATTTGAAATGAGGTTTTCAGTAGACAACCTGTTATTTAAAAAATTATTAAATTTACAATGTGCAAACATTGATTAAAGCTCAGTAATGTTGAAAGACAATGTATTAGTTTAAAAAGAATTTCTATTAACATTCCTCAACTTATATTAATTTAAAGAATACAAAATTACAGGTTTTCATCTTTTCTTTAAGTGATTCAATTGACATAAACCTAAATTTATCAAAATTGTTTATCGATTTAAAAATTATTTCGGCCAAATTAATCAAAATTAAATTATAATCCATCTAAATTTAAATTCATTTAATTTCTAATCAATCAAAAATTCAGTTTATTTAAATTTGTATCTGTTCAAATTTTAATTAATCCCAATTTCAAATTAATTAAATTTTATTCAATTCAAATTTTTAATTCATCCAAATTTCAAGTAATTCAACTTTCAATCAAAATCAAATCAACATTATTAATTACAAAAATTTGTTCAGATTTTTTATTTTTTTTTATTGATGAAAAACAAACTACAGAGTGTTGCAATATTTTATCGCTGGCTCTATACCTACGCTAACGTAAACTGATTTCCAAAACTATAGTTACGCGAAGTGTAAATGCACTTCATCATTACACTAGCGTAGTAAAAAACATGTGTGAAAAGTGAACGAAAAATAGTAAACTAAGCGTAAGGTACTGCTCGCTTTTCTTTTTTAAAAAACCTTGGCGAGAGGGGGTGGATATGGCCGAAAGTATTTTGCGAAATTCGTTGGATCCTGAATAATGGTGAATTTTTTTTTTACAATAAATGAAAAGTGAAACTTACCCCACGGGTGTCACTTTTCGAAACTTTTTTCATTTCGCGTAGGTTTAGTTTTGGGAGATCGGTTTACGTTAATTTTTCATTTCGCTGTCACTTCGCGTAGGTTTAGTTTTGAAATATCAGCTTACGTTAGCGTAGAAATAGGCACTTCGATATTTTATTCATAAAATATCACTTGATGTTAACAAATTAATATTAAATAATGTTATTTATTTTTGTATCTAAATTAGATTAATTTCTATAAATAATTTTTTAAACATTTTTAAGATAAGAGGAATTGAACATTTTTTTACAAATAAAACTCTTCCTGAATTTAAACAATTATAATTTTTCTTCTCAAATATTGTTTAAGGAATTAAATTAAAGATTAATCTATTAAAAAACTAAATTAAAAAATCACTTGAATTAGAAAAATATTTTCTAAAAATAGGAGTTATTTTAAAGTGCTTTATTTACTGTTAATGTGTACTTTTCCCTTTAATAAGCCGTTTGATTTATTTCGCCAGTCTCCTACCGTTTATTTTCTTTTTCTGGCGAAATAATTGATGACTGGAGAATAATAAAGCGAAATAATTTACTTGGCTTATTTCGTCAGACGTCTGGTGAAAAAGTAGAGATTTAAAAAATTGCAAGAGAGAAAAGAATCTATTATTTGAAATTCAAAGATTAATAAAAAAATACTCAACCTCATATTTTATTTCAGCAAATTCATGCGTCGGAAAAAGACTTTGTTGTTGCAAGTAGTCTTCTTGCAGTTGGAGTGGATTATTCTCATATAAGTAGTGCTAATTATACTCGAGTTTTGTTTCTATTAAGTAGATGTATGCTCATGTTAATAGACAAAAAATTTGTGGAAGTGCATCCTCTTCTGACGTCAGCCGGTCATCAAGTTGAAAATTGGCAAGGTGGCACCCACCAAAAAGAATATCTTAAAGTCTACTACTTGGTTCTACAAGTTTGTCATTTCCTAATGGCCGGTCAGGTAATTGCTCATTTACAAAATAATGTGCTAAAAATTCAATTCTGAAAGAAAATTTCAATTTTTCTTTATAAATATCACACTGATATTTGCATGAAACGTAATTTTATTATGAATTTATTCTGAAATTAGGCTTTGAATAATATGTACAAACAAAATTTCATGGAATATATCAAACGACAAATATAAATTCTTAAGAACTTGATAAAAAAAAACAATTTTTTATATTTTATTTAGTAAATAAACGTTGTTTATATTTATATTTAATTATTGATTTGTTTTATATTATTTGAACTTTATTATTTGGTATTAATTAATCCAAGATTGCTCAGATAAGGGACTAAATTGTTTTAAACAACTTAAAATTAATTTCATATCTCAGAATAAATATTTAATAATTATAAATTTTCTAGGGAAAGAGTGTTAAACCTTGCCTGAAGCAACTTCAACAAAGTATACAGACAATCATCTCTCCAAATTGGCCCACAGACGATTTTATTACTGGTCCTAACATTGGTGACATGTTTATTTGGATGCCAAAGGAACATTTGTACGTTCTAGTATACTTAGTAACTGTTATGCATTCAATGCATACAGGTTACATGGAAAAAGCACAAAAATATACAGACAAAGCCCTCACCCAGATTGAGAAACTGAAATGTGAGATTTCTTTTTGAATGATTGAAAATTGAATTGTAATAATTGAAAATATTGTGTACATATTGTCGAGGTTACACTGCCGATCACCTAACGTTTATGCTACTTAAATTCGTCTTTAAAATCAATTCCTCTTTTAAGCTATATCCTAAGAAATTTTAAGCAAAATATTGGAAAACATATTAGATTTCTCTTCAAACGAAATATGGTGAATGTAATTTAGATTATTCTTATAAAACTTATTATTCGAGAAAAAATAATTTTATTTCTAAAATTTCATATTTTTACTTTCACTTGATTTAGAAATTCTTTTTGTACATGGTCAGATTTATTAAAAATTTAAAAAATTCTAAGTAAAATTAATTTTTTAAAAGATTAAAAATAAGTCTTACTCTATTACATTCTATATGTAAATTATTACAATTCGTTTTTATAAACGAAAAAATATTGAGGGATAATTTTGAATTATTCTTACAGTTGTGGAGAACAAGCCAATTCTTTCTGTCTTTCAACTTATGTTACTCGAACACATAGTGATGTGTCGGCTCGTTATGGGAAATAAAAGTACAGCCCTTGCAGAGATTTCGCAAGCTTGTCAACTTTGCAGGCAGCAGCCGAAATTACTTCAAGGACACAGACCCCAATTGCATACACTTATAGGCTTGTATGCAATGTCTATGAATTGTATGGAGGCCGCGGAAGCTCAATTTTTGGCGGCGTTACGAGTGAGCAGTGTAATAGATTTAAAAGAAAAAAATTTTTTCCTCCCTGTCGCATAACAATAATTATGTATTTGATAATAATTATTTCGTTCTTTTTTTGCAGACAACGGAACGTGAGTTACAGACATTTGCCAATTTAAATCTTGCGATAGTTTACCTGAGAACAAAAAGGGATCAGGAATTAGGGACTCTCTTGGAAAGAATCAATCCTGAATCTTTACCGTCACACTCACATTCCTTAAGGGCAGCAGCATATTATGTTCAAGGACTTCAAGCTTTCTTTGGTGCTCGTTATAATGAGGCAAAGTATGTTCTTCTTTTCTTTGTATTAACTTTAATGCATGCTTCAAACTTATCTACTAAAAGCTACTATTTGTTCATTTTTTTATAGTTTGCTACTACTCGGCAACTTTTTTCAGCTTTATGCTACTAAAAGCTTCTTTTTCATAAATTTTTCAAATTTATTTTCAATAAATTATCGCTTCTAATGAACAAATATTGAAAAGTGTAATATTTATTGTAAATTTTTCGTATTTCTTAAATTAAGTAAACAATAATTTCCTATTATTTTTTAAATTTAATATAAATTTAATTTAAAAAAAAATTTTATTTAAATTATTTAATTGTTTTCTTGGAATTTATAAAATTTATATTTGTTTACTTTTACAAATTGGTCAAAAATTATTAATTTTTAATTAACCAATTTTTTTTATATACTCTTTTTTGGAATTTCTCTTTATTTATTTAAAAATAAATTTTGTACGATGCTTAAGTCCTCAACGATTATAAAAGAAAATTATAAAATTTTGTATCTAGAAAAAAGTTTAATATAATTTTTTTTATCAATAAACATTGCAAGAAATATCTTTGAGACGAAAATTCATAGAATTTTTCATTCAAAATAATATTTCTTTAGAAAATGTTGATCATAAACGTTGCGAACTTCAGCATCATTAAATTTATAAATTTGCCCTTAAATTTTTTTCTTTTTAGAAACTAAAATTCTTGTTTTTATTAATAATAATATTATCTTTAACATTGTACTTCCTTAAATTTTATATTTTATTTTTTAAAATTCGTGTTTATAAATTTTCTTTTTAAAGAAACTTTTTTAAGTTTTTCTAACATTTTCATGTTTTTTTCTTTCTTGATTTTTCGTCTTGAACTTTTCGTTGTTTGAATAATTTATTTCAAATAAGTGACTACGTTTTATTAATTAATCAGAATCTGAATATTTTCTCACTATTAAATATTTTCGATTATTATAATTATTATAATTATATATAATGTCAATGGGACATTCGTTCCGTTCCAAGACCAGAAACGAAAGTTGATGGGACTTTCGTTCCGTTCCAAGATCAGAAAAAAACACTGAATTCAGTGTCACATGAAACATATATGTATCCATTTTTTTCTGATCTTGGAACGGAACGAAAGTCCCATCGACTTTCGTTTCTGGTCTTGGAACGGAACGAAACATTCGTTTCTGTTCTCATTGTCAGTCACGGAACAGAACAGAAGTGATTTTTCTTTTCTGTTCCGTTTCCGGACACATCCCTGTTTAATAATAACAATAATTATTATTTTTGACAAATTGTAGGAGATACTTGAGGGAAACGTTAAAAATGGCAAATACAGAAGATCTAAACAGATTGACTTCGTGCAGTCTTGTACTTCTTGGACACATATTCCTTTCTCTGGGTAATAATCGAGAGTCAATGAATATGGTCACACCTGCTATGCAGTTAGCTTCTAAAATTCCAGATGTCCACGTACAACTTTGGGCGACAGCAATTCTTAAAGGTTTAAATTTATATTTTTTTGCGATTGAGAGTCAAAAATTTCATTTTATTCATCTCTTTTCACTAATAATTTGAATATTTTCTATTAAGAATAGACCTATGAAAAATGTAATAAAAACAAACTGTTGCAACTTTTACTTCTAATTCAAATGACGAATTCATGACATTCGAACTGTTCGATTTATTTCAAATCTATTTCAAATGTGATATTCAACATTTAATCTAATGTTGTTCAGTTTATTTCAAATCGAATATAGGCAATTAAAACTCCAACTAATTTCGATTTGAATTAGTTTTGCACAGCTCTAGTTGAGAAGTTATAATTTTAAAACATATTTTTCATTTATTTAAATTTTTTTTCAATTTACCTATAAGATTAAAGTTAAAAACGTGGATTTGAAAAATGAAACGTATAGTTTCATTCAGTAGGAAACGAACACTTTTGTTTTTGAGATAGTTTAGATGACAAATTAAAACGTAAAATAGACAAATTTAATAAATTAAAATAATTTTTTAAAAATATTATCAACATTAGATTTATCTGTAATATAGCTTGATAAACTAATTTATTATTTTTCGCATACTTTTAAAAGGAGAATGTTTTTTTAAATCGAGATCTAATGTCAAAGTTGAATTAATTTTTCATTAAATTTGAACTTTAAATGACCATATTTTTCTAATACTTTAACTCACTTTTGCAGACTTTCAATATTGAACGCTTAAAATTTAGAGGAGTACATTTAAAGAAACTGAAGAAAATTTCAGTTTTTAGTACCATTTTCTTAAATTTTCTTAAATTTATGAATCAAAATGTTTTAATTATTAAATATAATCTTTTTTAGTGACAAAATATAACGTTTAAAGCAATAAATATTTTGTTAAACGTTATTCTAAAGAAACTACAAAAGAAATTAAAAAATCATACACTTAATTTGAGTTTCCCTCCAATGATATTTATTTCAAATTTCATCTTAAAATGATGATAACACTCATATCAAAAAGAACCTAGGAAGAGTCATGAAGTTTGGGTTGAACTTAAGCGAAGCTCACCGCCCATGTGTCGTTAAGAAATCAAAACTATTTGGATTTTTAAATGCTGAAATTAAACATTGTTTACTTTTAGGATTGTATCTTTTAATGGATACTAGATGAGCAGTTAGAGAAATTTTTTGCTCATGCGCAAAACAGAGATTTCTCGGTTTAGCAAAAAAGAATTATAATACCTTTTTATATGTTGAGAGTGAAAATAATGAATTTTTAATCTCGTAAATAATCGAGTGAAGCATCCTAAAAGCAAACACTTTTAGAATGAGTCCCATTATTATAAATAACAATAAGTAATTTTTATTTGTTGCAGATTTATATAGACTTTGTGGAGATCCTACAAGAGAAAATGATGCATATCAAATGCATTGTAATTTCTCTCAAACGCTGTTAAAGGATCATTTCCAAAGTACACAAATGAGTGAGTACGCTCTCATTCAATGGACTGAAGGACCAGTGCCTGTTTTACCCAACAATCCTCCTCCTTCCACTTCTCAAGCGATTCTTTAACAAGAGTAAAAAAATTATTCTTCATATTTACTTAAATATTCCAAATGTTCCGCTGAATTGGGCACTACAGCGGAAAATTTGTTTTTATTCTTTGAAAAGAAAAGAAGACAGAATTCAACGTGGAAGATTTCTCATTTTGTATTGAGAATCATTGCTGAGCAAAGTCACTGGGATACATTTTCACACTAAGAGAGAAAGAGAGACCAGTCATGTAGACCTTCATTTTTTGACTTAAAACTTTGAGGACTATATCACAGTCTTACAAAAAAGTATCATGTGCGGCTGACCCGAGTACCTTACACCCATATATTTTGGTGCAGTGAACACGAATCTGAGGTCAGATTTCAATCCATCAGGTCAGGATTTTTTTCTACCCTCAAAAAACATGTCGGATGTTATGTAACATACAATTTTTTTTAAAAATTGATTGGATAAACTTAAAACTCGTTCCTTGTGGGTTTTTTGGTGTCGCTGATTACGAATATAAAGTTAAATTTTCCAAATTCAAAATGTTGGATTCAATATGGCGGGCGAATTTTTTTTTTTTAATTTTCACGTAACTTGGTATCTAGGGGTTTTCGGGGTCGCTGATTACAAATCTGCAGTAAGATTTTGAAAATTCAAAATGATGGACCCCATATGGCGAAAGATTTTCAAAAAAAATTTAAAAATTCGTCCAGCATTTTAGATTTTGAAAGTTAGACTTCATATTCGTAATCAGCGACCCCAAAAATCCACAAGAAACAAGTTTTAAGTGAATCCAACTAATTTTTAAAAAATTTGTTTGTTACATAAAATCTGACATGTATTTTGAAGTTAGAAAAAAATCCTGACCTGATGGATTCGTGTTCAGCGCACGAATACCCCAATACATGGGGGTAGGGTACTAGGGTCAGACGCAGATGACAGATTTTTTTGTGGGGCTGTGTATTTTTTAGTCCACATATTTTGACATTCGTTGGCTAAACGGTGATTATTTTTAGCTTTTTTACAGCCTTTTAAAAACTATTCCTTGTAGTAGTTTAACGCAACAATGCGCTGTAAAAATTCAATTTACCAGATCGATTTTATTTTGCTGTTATTAATATATTTTGTATTATTTTGAAGAAATATCAAATTATTTAGTCATTTATTCAAAGTTGAAAGGTACAAAACATTTTTTGAAGCAAAGTTTCAGTAATTGGATAATTACGAAATTTATTAATAATTACTTTGGTTTATATTTTCTCTACTTCAGCTCTCGAAAGTTAATAGGCATGCATTTTCGAAACAACATGGAGGGAAAAAATGGTCTCGTAAAAAGTCTTTGAATCGTAATGAAAAATATTGTATTTTGTGTTTAGTTTAAGTTACTTATATTTTATTTTAATGAAATTATCGAAACTTGGAAACATTTAAAGATTCTGCTATATACTAATTTAGAAGAGACTAACAATCAAAATTCTACGTGATAGATTCGCATATAGATTTTTTGCCTAGCTGTTACAACTTTCGAGAGCTAAAGTGGGAAAAAGATTAACCAAAGTAAAATTCATAAAATTTCTAATTATTGTTTAGATGAATAAACTTTGTTTAAAAAATCTTCAAATATCGAATCGAAAATGCTGTAAAAAAATAATTGATTTATTAGATTTTAAAATAGATCGAGTATTTTGCCTCTTTAATTGGGATTTTCAGAAAAATAAGTTGCTATTAAAATTTAACTTTATTAATTTCCTATAAAGTCATTGTCAAGAGTGTGCTTGCGATCAGAATTTTTATTTTATTCCTGGAAAACAAACTTTATTTAAAATTAATTTTTTATCCAAATTAGGACAAAAAATCCTAAAGTTTATTACTAATTAATGAATAAACTACTCGAAAAAGTTTTCAGGCGAGTTGTACATATGATAGCAACATACGGACAGACTTTGCTCCTTAAAGAAAGTACTTAAAGAAAGAATTCTTTAATAATTAATTGAAAAATTCTGATTGCAGCAGTTAAATTTTATTACTGACTGTCAAAGAAACGGTAAAAATTATTGAGTAGATGTGTACAAAATCAGTAACCTGCGTGAATGTTAAAAATGTTTATTCTTTCATTTCTTTTGTTATAAACTTTCGACTGTTTATTTTTTATGCGTTCTACGTTACGGAATCCTTGAATGTGTGATGTGTAATTAATTTAAGTTTTCAAATTAAAATATCAGAAAGCATGAAGCGTTACTGGGGCCTTAACGCATAGTAGCTCAACACGCAGAAAAGTAGACATGTCCTTTTCTGCGCGTCTTAAGTGACTAGAGCGTCTTGTAAATAGTTCAATTGTGAAAGATGTCACAAATTATAAAATAATCTAAATACAGGATTATTCCATTATATTTCGCAATATATTTTTTGAATTTTATTCAAAAAATTTAAGGAATTATTAAATAGTATTTTATTTTTCAAATGAAACTTTGTTCTGAAACTTTCTGAAAAAGTGTAATTAAAAGTTGACGAATTTTTCATCTAAAGATAATATTCAAAATTTATTTTCACCTGATATTTTTGAGTTTTTAATAAAACATTTTTTAAATAAAATAAATAAATATATATGTATATATATAAATTAAACTATTCTGATGATTTTTATTTTCTAAATTGTTTCACTGCCATTTTTATTGAATTTTGACAACTGTAAAAATAATTGCTAGAGTATCAAAATTAAAAAAAGTAGGCCCCAACGAGTTCAGGTAAAATATAATGGAATGATCCTATAATAATGTAATTTATTTAATTTCATCAAAGGTATCATTATTTTTAATAGTCATCATTACTTATAATTGAATGAATGTTACACTCAATTTTTATTTTCATTTTTATTTAACGATTTAATTGACTCGGAACTTTAAATTAGATCTGAATATTTTGTTTGCTATCAAAACAAATTTTTCGATAAATGGTTTCTAAATAAACGAGAAAATCGTTGTTTATAAATTTTATTCTTGTTTAAACCGGTCTTTGCTTTTTTCATGTACATAAAGTAAAGATGTCAAGTTCGAGAACGTTTTTAAATCAGTTGTGTACAAGGTTGCTACTTTTCCTATATTTCAAAATTCCATGACAAAATACACTTATATTTAGAGCTTTGGAAAATTATTAAATAAAATTGAACCCTCATAAATGATAGAAAATTAAAATGCTCATAATCAGGTTTTTGAAAAAAGAAACTTTTATTTCCAAGCAGAATTAACAATTCTTCAATTTTCCTTGATTGCGTAGCAACCTGGTTGTTTCTAATCGCAAACTAAAATTGATTAAAAACCTTCCAGACTGCAATTTATTAGATTTTAATTGTTATTTAGTATTCTAAGAATGTAAATTATAGCTTGTTTTCTACAGAAATCTCCATTTGGTTTATTTGTTCAAAAATAAAAATAAACACTTGAAAATCAAGTTGAAAGAAAACAGTTGGTAATAACGATGTTCTAAATTTTACAATTTTTTAATAAATTTCTGGTTTTTTAAATGAACTTCAGGAGGACTCAATATTGAATTGAGATTAAAAGAATTTTTATAGTTCTGTGATTAAAGATTAATTTAAACTAAATGGCAATGACTGTAACTGAACATTTTTTAAGAAAACAAATTAGGTAATAAATGGGTAGTCTCAAAAAGATTTGATCATTGTTTTGAAACATCCTTTGCCTAAAATAATATTTCCATAAATTCATGAGTTTTCAAAGTTTTTTTATTTCGGTGGAAGCCTCTGTTACCATCGTAAGTAATAATTTATTTATCTTGTTTTACATTTATTTATTAATCACACAATTAACGAGAATAAAAAGATGGAAAACAAACTTAATTAATTAATTTTTATTACATAGAACACTATCATATTATGTAAATCACAATTCTTTTAATAAACATCGCTTTCATTATATCCATTTCAATGGCTTATTTATTCAATAATAACTTATATTTCATTACTTTTAATTTACATGTTTTCTACAAATTTACGTACCTAGCCCTCAGTTTAGTGTCTATACCAAACTTGCGTTGTTCGCATGCGTTTTATTTTCTTTTGTAACTGTAAAATTCCATACATCAGAGCTTCTGCCGTAGGGGGACAGCCTGAAAAAAATTTTAAATCAAAATCTGCAAAATAATTAAACTCAAAGAATTACAGGAAAGATACGCCATTTTGAATTTTGAAAATCTGACTACATATCCGTAATCCGCGACCACGGAGTAATAATAAGGAGGTGGATCTCCTATACATAGTTCTAACGGAAAGTGTGTCTTTTTTTTGCAAGAGTAATGTTCTGAGTCCCCTAGCAACAGTAGCGCCACTTGCGGTAATTGTGCAAATGAAAAACATCTTTTTCCGGAAGACTCATCAATTACTTTTCGAATCACTCATTGCAACAAAAAATGAACATTGTGTATAACCTTGTAGACCGAGCAATGTTATTACCCAAATAGCACGGAAACTTGTGGCAAATATTGAAATGTCCTCCCTTGGCAAGTTTGCAGCAAAAACTTTCTGCAAACATGCTAAGCAAAATTGTCGAAAAGTTTCAAGAACAATTTGTAGCAAAATTGCGCTGAAAATTTTTAGAAATTTTAAAATGCAAGTTTTAGTAAAATAAATATTTAATAGTTTTATGGAAAATTATTTTGTTAATTTCTTTTAAATTTAAATAATTAAATCACAGAATAGAAAAGTATTGTTCAAAATTTTATAACTATTTTGTATTTAATTAAAAAATTTATAAATATTTTTACTTACCTTATCTCGATTTTTAATGTTTTTAAGCCACTAACATCGGGGCTAATAAATTGTACTCAATTTTAAAAATGTTCCATAACAAATATTTTCAAATGTATAAAGTCACTGAGAATAAATTAAAAAAATTTTTTTTCAAACAATTGTTTCGTTATTTCTCCTTTTCTATTCTGTGATTTAATTATTTAAATTCAAAAGAAATTGACAAAATAATTTTCCATAAAACTATTAAATATTTATTTTACTAAAACTTGCATTTTAAAATTTCTAAAAATTTTCAGCGCAATTTTGCTACAAATTGTTCTTGAAACTTTTCGACAATTTTGCTTAGCATGTTTGCAGAAAGTTTTTGCTGCAAACTTGCCAAGGGAGGACATTTCAATATTTGCCACAAGTTTGCTGCAAACTTACCTTACAAACTTTCAAACCTTGCACTGCAAACTTGCTGCAAGTTTCCGTGCTATTTGGGTATCACATCAATTTAATGAAAATTAATAATATTCTAAAAAACAATGATTATACACTTAAAATTATAAAAAAACACAATAAAATTCGTTTAAATATTATTAAATTTCATAAAAAAATAATGATAATAATTCTAATAATATTGTAAATTCACAAGCACTTTTATATAAACAAATTCCTAAATTCAGTCTACCTTACAATAACTCAAATTTCATTAGATTGTCAAAAATTCTAAAAACATACAATATACATATACTATTCCTATAGTTAATAAACCTTTAAAATCTATTATAAATTAGGTAAGGATCCTATTGACAAGTGGAATGAAACGAATATAGTTCATAAATTTAATTGTAAAAACTGTCCAGCGAATTATATTGGAGAATCTAAACGTTCATTAAAAACACGTAATAATGAGCATAAAAATACTAAAAATAAAACATCGGCTTAATCAGTAGTAGGATTACATCGATCAAAATTGAATCATGAGTTTGATTGGGATAATGTCACTATACTAGACCGTGAACAAAATGATAAAAAACGTTGTTTTTCAGAAATGTTACACATAAAAATTAATGATTTCACTATTAATAAGACAGAAGACATAATGTATTTAAATAAAACCTATTTCCCTTTAATTTCTAAATTAGACTCGTGATTCTATTTTTCTGTAAATATTTCACTTCCACGTGCTGTTTACATCTAAGTTCATTGACTCCTCTATTTCATTTAGATTTTTAAATTTTTGTATTTTGAATTTAGTCTTGACGATACGTGTCTATAAACCTGATGTGCCAGCTTAGTCTGAGCAAAATAAAATTTCCTAACGCTAAGATGTAACGGTTCAATTAACTATTGGTAATTGTTATTATTTGTGTATTTTTATTATTTTTTTATAAAAAAAGAAGATAATGTGTTTTAAATAAAATTATAAATATTTTCATTAGATTTAACCTGAAGATGATGATGAACCGAGTCATCGAAACGTAGTTTTTTGTTTTTGTGGCAATGAACAACATTAATAACATACTTTTTTATGTTATGTGCGTTGTTTAGTTTAGTTGGTTAAAATATTAAAAATATTATTAAAATATTATATAGTAAAAAAATTTTAACGCATTTCCTCAATAAAACAGCTTCTTATTTTTCACATTGCTTTAAGGGGGGAAACTTATGAAACCATTTTTGGAATATTTTTAATATAAAAAATTACATGGAAAAACTTTGTTTAAAAATTATTCCTAAATTTGTTCAGGAACTGAGGATATGAGAATGATTTAAGAAATCTTATTAATATTTCTTTGGAAAATTCTGAGCAGTATTTCTATAAGAATTGCAGAGAATTTCAACACAACTTCCTAAACTTACTACAAAAATTCTTGAACTCGTTTTAGAATAATTTTTTATGTTTGCGAGAAAAAAAATTTAGTCTGTTAGTATTCGAACCCACGTCCTCGAAACTCCAAAGTCTCCTTCTTAAGTCTCCCAGCTACCTTAGCAGCTTATGGTATGGAAACATATTTGACGCAACTAATCCCAGCCTAGCGCTTAGTTACTGTACTGCGTCTTCTAAAATAGTTCAAGCATCATTCAGAGCCCAGTGACTGAGACAGTCCGATCGCAGTATTAACAAGTCTTTTAATGTTATAATAAAAATACATGTATTTTCTTGAATGATTTTTGAACTTTTCTGTAAGTTTTTCAAAATTTTTCTCATATCCTCCATTCCGGAACAAATTCAGTAATAATTCTTAAACAAAGTTTTTCCGTGTATGTACATAGCTTATATTGTACACTTTAAGGTATGCTTTATTCTAATTCAATAAACTTTACTATTTTTTTGTAAAAAAAATCTTGAAAATACATTATTTAATGATTACAAGATGCGTTTATATAATGAGGGAAACAAAAAATTCTATTGAACATGTGATCAAGTTCTCAGGTAAAAGATTAGAACGAAAGTATAAGAGGTTACAATATAACCCTACAGGTGGCGTGAATTTGTACGTGACGTACTTCCTTTATTCAAAATGACTCAAAACATTAAACTTTAAATTCTTTTAGATTATTAACACTTCCCCTCGAGTCAATTGGTCCTGTTTTAATCACAAACAAAAAATAAAAGAATAAATAAAACAACACTATTTTCTCACTGTAATTAAACCAGCGGATTTTACACACTGATCATGTTTAGATTTTGTTAATCCCTTTGTCAGAAAATCGGCACTCGGTCTCGAATCGAAATGAATTTCACGGAGAACAAATTTTTCGACAATACATCCCGCACGAAATGGTGTCTAATATGTCAATATTAGCAACTTCTGTTGTCACAAAACACACTCAAATTTAACAGGTTCTCAAATCCAAGTTTACGAAGAAATCTGAATATATATGGCTTTCTTGACACACTCAGTTAAGGCCATATATTCCGCTTCCGTTGTTGACAGCGCAGTGGTCCTTTGTTTCCGAGAGTCCCATGATATCGTACTTCCCCCGAGTATAAAGATGTATCCTGAGTAAGATCTCTGATCGATTACACACCCTCCCCAATCCGCGTCAACGTACCCTTGAACAGGTCCTTCCTGTTTCCTGTAGCTGATCCTTACGTCGATGGTCCCTTTAAGGTAGCGTAATACGTGTTTAGCTGCCTTCCAATGTGCTAAATTGTAATAATTGTTAAATTGCCCAAAGTAACTTATCGAATAAGCAAATTCAGGACGAGTCGTGACAGAAAAATAGAGTAGTGCCCCGAAAAGTTCTCGGTAAGCCAATTTTTGGTCTTCCTCGCTGGGTTGTTTGCTTTTAACGAGTTTTCTTTTGAAAATTTCGATTTTCCTTTCGTTCTTGGCTGCCACGAGAAAATCATCTACGTAAACAACGATGATGATGACATCTTTCCCTGCTCCAATTTGAAATAGACATAGGTCCGCTTTTGATGGAACAGCGCCTAAACTTTTGAGAGTTTTGTCGAGTTTTTTATACCAGCTTCTACCGGCTTGTTTGAGTCCATAAAATGATTATTTTAATTAACAAATTTTATTACCTTTCTGAAATTTTCTCAGCATTTCCTTGGCTTCTCTTCCAATTTTACTGTCACCTTCTGAGTCGATGAGATCTTCCAGAAAATCCTCAAATCCTTTGGGAGCATTCATGTACACCTTTTCTTCTAGGTCGCCATTGAGGTAGGCAGAAGCCCTGTCAAATTGTCTGATTTTAAAATTATTTTGTGCTGCCAAAGATGCCATAAGTCGAATTGAGCTGCTTTTGGTCACTGGAGCGAAAGTTTATTTGAAATGGATCCCCGGTTATTGGCTAAATCCCTGAGCAATCAAACGAGCCTTTCGTTTTTTGATGGTTCCATCTGGGTTCAGCTTATTTCTTAAGATCATCCTGCTTCTGATGACCTTGCCTTAATCTGAATGATTGACGAGATTCCAAGTTTTATTTTTAATTAAAGATTTCATCTCACCTGCAATGACTTGGTGTCATTCCGCAGCATTAGATCCAATTATCGCCTCCTTCATCGGGACCTCAGATAGAAATGTTTGCTCGATTCCTTCGTGCATTGTAACTTGTTCTATGTCGCCTCCTTGATCATTCTCTCGTCGTGTGCTGCTTCTCAGTCCGGTTCTTGTACCTTGTCGTGAAATTTCTGTTTCTGGTCTCTTTCCACTTCCTTTCAGTCGTCCCGGTTTTTTCTATATAGTTCACTGTGTTTACCGCTTCTGCCCAGTACGCGTCGGGCAATTTGTTTTTAAATAAGAGAAATCTTGCAGTCTCTAGAAGAGACCGATTTTGCCACTCTGCTGTACTGTTTTGTTCTGGATTCTGCGGCACAGTCAGGCGTCTCGTTATTCCTGGCTGTTTGAGATAAGAGTCAAGGTCGTTGTTTTTGAATTTGGTTCCGTTGTCCGATTGTATCTTTCGCCCACTTTTTTCTTTTCGTTTTTCTGCTCGAGCGATGTATTCCATTTATACTTTCGGAACTTGTGACGAAGTGTGTCGTCATCTGTCTTTTTGGTTTTAAAATATAACACAAGTGTCCCCAAGGCGATATACACGGTTTTCCCACGTCATAATTAATTAGGAAAAATCATAGCGCGTTACGTTCGTTCTCTACACATGCGTTACGATGGCCCGCGAGCGGTCTCGGAAGAGGACGACTTTGACTGTGGAAGAAGGAGGACATGAAGGAAGGAACGTGATTAACGAAAATTGATCGATCATTAGTTTCCCGGATCTCGATCAAGTATCAGTTTTGTTTTAACGATCGTTCGCGCGAGTAGTTTCTTTGAGATCTTTTCCATTATTATATTAATTAGTTATTATTTTTCTTTTATACTTAAAGTTTTTTTAGTTGATATTAAATAAATATTTTATAAATTTAATTATTGTCTATTTTAATTAATTATTCCGTTTCTTATCATCTTTGGAGTCAACGAGGTTCAACGGCGAATCATAGAATCATTTAGTGTGGGTGAGTTACAATAATCTATAAGAGGTTCGATTTTATCTCGTTATCACAGGCATCGTGATAAGTAGTTAAGTTAACGGAATTCCCTCTGACTTAACTCTTTGCCATTCCGTATGGCATTTTGAATTTCCGTTGCACTCGCGTGGCCTAGCCTTTTGTGTATAAATTTAATCGATGCTTTGCTTGTCGTCATCCACACATTTTCGAAAATATCTGGCACGTAATACAAGTCCCCAAATGAACCAAAACATCTTCGAAGGGCATATACGCAATGCATTTAGCATGGCCTATATGTCCTTCTACGATCCGTCGGTTCAATTCTTTCCGCGCACAATTCAATTTTCCCGTTACCACTCACGATTTCCGCTCGATTATTCTTAAAAATAACATCGTACCCTATGTCCGTGATTTTTGACACCGATATTAAATTTGTCCTTACCCAGATAGCACAACTTTTTGCAGCAATTTTGCAGCAAATTTGCAATGCCAAATTATAAGTTTACAATGTAAATTTGCTGCAAAACTGTAGCAAATAGCTATATGTCCTCGCTTTGCGAAGTTCGCATTGCAAGTTTGCAGAAAAATTTCTCAGAAAAATTGCAGGAAAATTTTATGACAAATTTTAATAAACGCTGGCTCTATACCTACGCTAACGTAAATTTATTTCCAAAACTATAGTTACGCGAAGTGTAACCTTGGCGAGAGGGGGTGGATATGGCCGAAAGTATTTAGCAGAAATTGTGGGGTGAAGTCTACAGCAGCGATGAACGCAAAATAGTAAACACGGCCTTTGGCCGCGTAAGGTACTGCTCGCTTTTCTTTTTAAAAAAACCTTGGCGAGAGGGGGTGGATATGGCCGAAAGTATTTTGCGAAATTCGTTGGATCCTGAATAATGGTGAATTTTTTTTTACGATAAGTGAAAAGTAAAACTTACCCCACGGGTGTCACTTTTCGAAACTTTTTTCATTTCGCGTAGGTTTAGTTTTGGGAGATCAGTTTTCGTTAATTTTTCATTTCGCTGTCACTTCGCGTAGGTTTAGTTTTGAAATATCAGCTTACGTTAGCGTAAAAATAGGCACTTCGTTTAAGAAAACTTGCGGACATTATTCGACAAAAATTAAAAAATGTCATTATTGTAAATATGATGATATTTTGTTACTGCAAACCTTTCCTAAAGGAAAGGCGACTAAAATCTATTGCGCAGCCCTAAGTGCCATAGAAAACTATTGCGCATGACATGAATTTGAGCAAATTATCAGCAAATTTTCTTCAAGTTTCCCATAAAAATTTTCTGCAAATTGTTGTGCTATCTGGGTAAATCCGGTGCAAACGCTGCATTTTCGAGTGACACATTTTGTAACGATCGAAATCGTTTTCTTTCTTTTGGGATAAATATGCCATTCCTGGTGGTTTTTCTCATCTGATAATACATAGCGCCAGGCGCTAGCCTGATAGCTACCGCGACCAGTGGTCGTTGAACGAATGAAAAATTCGGGTGTCATCGGACCCCACACGAAGGGTCTCATAGGTTGCGATTATGATCGCGCTCGATTTCAAAAAATCAGAGAGAAGCGAGACTTCTAGAGAGAAGCGAGACTTCTAGCGAGAAGCAAAACTTCTAAGAGATATACGAGTCTCATTATTAACGCGAATTCAATTTATGCGCTGCGACGCACTCTTTTCTTTCTTTCAATGTATAACACATTTTACTATCATTAAATTATTCAGTTTTCTTAATTGTTTACTCTTTATTAATTTGTGTGCCTTTTAACGATGAATCAATAATAAAGGAATCATAATTCACCAGCGAAACAGCGATCTGCGAATTGGTAAGTTCGATCAATCCTTGTTCTTTTTACCTAGTAACTTATCTCAATAATATTCTTATTCGCAACTGCTCAATGGATTTCGCCGCTGGCCGAATCTTTCTTTAAATTACATGGATTTCAGGAGTTTTCTTCAAATACATTGTGTCGACTGTCGTGAGCTGAACCCTTATTCTCTAAATTATTATTTAAAATCAAAGTCTCGCAAAGTTTGCCACAATTTTTAAAATCGTTATTCACTTTCGCGATAAATTTCACTGTTCCTTTACCTAGAATTTCAGAGGTAGAACTATTCGCGAGATTTAAAACTCCGGGATTCGAATTGGTAATGTTCTGAAAATTTTCAGTCTTATTTCATAAATGAGTTGTCGCGCTACTGTCCAAGCACCAATTTTGATTTGTTTCGAGAGATTCCCCCAACTTTAAGGCACACATCTTCTGCACACTTCGCGGTTTGTTTGTTTATTTGTACGTGACGTGCTTCCTTTATTCAAAATGACTCGAAACTTTAAATTTTTTTAGATTATTAGAAAATATTTATTTTTAACTTCCTTTCAAAGGCATAAAAAATTATTTTTTATTTAACATTGCCATGAAATATTGTAGAAAACAGGACATTTAGAGATTGCTTCAATATTGCAGTAATATTAAACTGCAATATTAGCAACATTGCACGACAATTTTGCAGCAATATTGTATAAATATTAAGTCCTATTTGAGTAGTTTCCATTAGTCTAGCCTACATACGGAGAGAAAAATCTAACTTTTATAGCATGAAAATGATTCCTACTATTAAAGCATGAATTTTTCCTACAAAAAAGCATCAATTCATACGTTGTTAGTACGACTGAGGATCATGCTTTCGTAGTATGAATTTAATACTTTAAATGCATATAAGCGCCACGCACAACTCGTATGAAACCAAAACCTACTACTATTGCAGGAGTCTAATGCTTTTTCAAGTTTCAGTTAAGTTAAATTGGGCGTGGCTTAATCGCCAGTTGCAGGACTCTCATACCGAAAAAGCATTAGACTCCTGCAATAGTAGTAGGTTTCAGTTTCATACGATTTGCGGGTGGAGCGTATGAATTAAAAGTATTAAATACATACTACGAAAGCATGTTTCCCAAACCTTTTAAGCATGGACACCAATCATACTAATAACGTATGAATTCTGACTAATATTACTAGAATTTATCTACTATAATAGCATGGAAAAGATTCATGCGTTAAACGTATTCCTTATTATGCTACAAAAGCTAGATTTTTCTCTCCGTGCATCTACTTAAAACAACAAGAGGTAAATTAATGTCCTTTACCTGGCACGTAAATGTCCACAGGAATAATTCTGTCGCATCCTCGAACAACAGAATAACTGTAATGGTAATATCCGCCTCCATTTGCACAGCTTCCCATAGAAATAACCCATTTAGGATCAGGCATTTGGTCGTAAATTCTTCTCAAAGCTGGTGCCATTTTATTAGTTAAGGTTCCAGCAACAATAATTACATCGGCCTGCCTAGGTGACGCTCGAAATACAACTCCATATCTGTCCATATCGTATCTTGGTGCTGCAATGTGCATCATTTCCACAGCACAACAAGCCAAACCAAAAGTCAAAGGCCATATGGAATTTTTACGACCCCAGTTCAGAAGATCGTCTACTCTTGCCAAAGCATATTCAGATTTACTTTGTGTATTTTGAAAAGGACTGTAAGGTTCTTTTTTTACTTTGCTGGGTAAAGATTCTTTTTCATTTGACTCTGTTGTTGTTAAATGTTTCACATGTGTAGTAACCGGGAGATGACATATTGCCGGAGAATTTTTAATAAAAGAAGCCAATCCTTGCTGAACGTTAGCTAAATTTTAAAATAATAAAATTAGTAACATGATAATCATTTTTTTATCTGGTTGTCTGTCAGTTCGAAACAGTCTATGTCAAACATTTCTTTAACTATTGAAAGACGGCTTTTCGTTCAGTTTCTATACTAATGAAAGTGAAGTTTAGACATAGTGGCGAAAAATGGTATTATACTATATGCGTAGAATAAAATGCTAAGCCACGTCCCTAACCAAGAAGACTAGATGAGTCAGAAGGAATAATTAGTTATTTCTCCACGAGGTGTTTGAAGAGAAATGTTAGATCACTTGGGTGGGACTCGAGCAACCCAGTAAAAAATCTAATTGAGAAGCTGGATCAAAGAACCGACGATTCGCTAGGACCGGACCCGCTCATAGAGTGACTATACACCGCAGTGAGAAGAGAAACATTGTCATGCGAAAGTAAGAAACTTTTCTCATTGATGAGTGAGTGAAATCAAGGTTGCCAACCTAGAAGACGTGTTGGTAAGGTAGGTATTGAATTTTTTCTTAAGAAACTATTCAATACCTACCTTAACAACACGTCTTCTAGGTTGGCAACCTTGATTTCACTCACTCATCGATGAGAAAAGTTTCTTACTTTCGCATGACAATGTTTCTCTTCTCACTGCGGTGTATAGTCACTCATACCAGTCGGGTAGCAGTGATGCTGATTCTACACTCACCGAAAACTGAGAGAGCGGTCCGCTTTTCCGTGACGCTTCCCATATTCAACTATATCTATATATATATAAAAAACGTAACGCAAATGCCGACCGCTCGCGCAGTTTTAGGTGAGTGTAGAATCAGCATGAGCGCCTCTGGGACACACACTGCTTGCTGATTCTACACTTACCGAGTAGCTTCGCTTTTCCGTTACACTTTTTAGATATATAGATATATTTAAATATAGGAAGCGTCACGGAAAAGCGGGCAGCTCGTGCAGTTTTAGGTAAGTGTAGAATCAACAGCTACCCGACTGGTATTAGCGCGTCCGGTCCGAGCGAAGCGTCCGTTCTTCGATCCAGCTCCTCAATTGAGATGAATTGAAACCAATTAACTTTTTTGGCAAGGTCCAAATCGTATTTGTCGCTAAGCAAGATTCAATGAAGCCCTTTGTATATTCAATTCAATTCATAGCAATGAGTTTTCATCGGTTTAAGAATTCAAACAAATTGACCAACTCGTCTATTGAATTTGTGCTGACGAATTGAAAAAAATTAAAGCTCAAAAGTTTGCTCATTGAATTAGTATGAATAGAGAGTTTGGAAGTTGAATACAGCTTTGTCGAATTTAGGAGAATTGCAACATAGCTTCAATTCGAATTTGTCGCTAAACGGGCCCACACAGCACCGTAAATTTTCTGAACTTCCCAAGTAACAAGGAATATTGGTTGAATGTCAGGGTGATATTAAGTCCGCTTCATGGGGACATTCCACGGTGATATTCCTGTGAAATTCATGTAATATTGAGGGGATATCCCTGTGATATTGAGCGGAATATTCCTCTGATATTGAGGGAATATTCCAGTGATATTGATGAGAAAATTTAAAAAATTCTAAAAAAAAATTTTTCAATTTTTTTTCAATTTTTTATTTTTTTATTTAAATATTCAAAACAAACAAAATTTTAGAATTTTATAAGTAACAGGAATATTCTCTCAATATCACAGGAATATTCCCTCAATATGGGAGGAATATTCCCTCAATATTACAGAAATATCCCTCAAATATTACATGAATTTTACGGGAATATTCCATCTGTATCATACGAATATCACGCGAATGTCACAGGAATGTCACCGTGGAATGTCCCCAGGAAGCGGACATTATGATATCGCCTGAATGTCACAAGAATATGCTTGCTTGATATCACCTTGACATTCAAGCAATATTCCGTGCTACTTGGGTTGTATTAAAGCTTTATCTTCCAAGTTGGGAGTATTTCGTTGCAAAGCTTACTAAAGATTGAGTACACTCAAATCTCTATACATATAACGAGAAGTTCAGTCCCGGAAACTCTCTATATAACGAGAAAAGACAAAGGACTTCTGCTCAAGTAAAACTCACATGTGACAGCAGTAAATGTTATGTATGTAAATATTATACTATGATTTTTTTATTATTATAGTATTATATTATAATAAAGTACTTAGTTATAATTACTTTTGTGATGCTAATATTGATTACATTTAATCTGAAACCTTCAAATATTTGGGACGCATGAATATTCCCTTCATTAGACTTGACGGAATTTTTGTAGTGTCAAATTAAAAATTATCGCATTTACATTTAATAGAATTTTAAAAAAGAGATTTAATAATGAGCCAAATTTTAATGTCGAATAATTACTGTTTAACAAAATTCTGATTTTATAGAATTTCTATTTAACTGGAATGTGATAAAGCTGATTTTCTAATATATCGAATTTTTAAATAATACAATTTCCATTTAACAAAATTGATATCTAGAAAAATTTTCAGAAAAAAGAATTTTTATTTATCAGAATTGTTCTTTTGTCGAATTTCTATTTATCCGAATATTCACTTAAAAGTATTTTTATTAATAGAATTTTCAATTAAAAGAATTTCTATATAAAAAAACTTCTTATTTAAAAAATTTTTATACAATCTAATTTTTATTTAATAGAATTGTCATTTAACATACATTCTTCTTAGGTAAATTTTTAAGACAGAATTTCTATTTCACTGATATTTTATTTGACCGAAGTTTCACTTTTCCGAAATTTCATTAGATAAAAATGTTAAAACATCGAATTTTCATTTTGATCGAACTTTCATATATCAGATTATCCACTTGGTATACAAGTTTCAGCGGGAGTTTTAAAATCAACCAATCACAATTTTCTTAATAATTTTTGATTGGTTGATTTTAAAACTCTTCCTGAAATTTGTATACCAAGTGGATGGAAATTCTGTTAATAAAAATACTTTTAAGTGACTATTCGGATAAATAAAAATTCGAAAAAAGATCAATTCTAATAAATAAAAATTCTTTCTTATGAAAATTTTTCTAGATATCAATTTTGTTAAATAGAAATTGTATTATTTAAAAATTCGATATATTAGAAAATCAGATTTATCGCAGTCCAGTTAAATAGAAATTCTATAAAATCAGAATTTTGTTAAATAGTAATTTTTCGACATTAAAATTTGGCTCATTATTAAATCTCTTTTTTAAAAATCTACTATGTAAATATAAATTTGATAATTTTTAATTTGACACTACTAAAATTCCGTCAAGTCTAATGAAGGGAATATTTATGCGTCCTAAATATTTTTTATAATTTGCAATTTCTCGCTTAGTGATTCAAATTTTCGTGAGGATGAGCGGAAATGACGTTTCTCGTTATATCCCTACCGGAAGGGTGGTACTGGATTGGTACTGGGAAATTGGAACTGAGATCTCAGTACTAATTTGGTGCATTTTGGTACTGAAATGGAACTGGGAAATTTACCTGCGAAAAGGGTCGAGTTACCGTTAATACCCTCATAAAAATGAAAAGCAACTAGCTTTTTCAATATGTTTAAACTAAAACTTTATATTTATTTCAATATTATATTTGTTTTTCATGGATTTATATTATTTTCATACATTATTATGCATATGATATTTCCTTTGTTAGCTAAATTCAAAAATGATGTCCATTTTTTTATCAAACTTAAGGTATACGAGATACATTATAACTTTAAATGTAATTATTTTATGATAAATTTTAGATATTCATAATCTGGAAATATTAACGAATCTGAATATATATTTTTTAAAGTTGAGTTATTAAAATTACAAATTTTTTAAGCAATAAAACTCGGGTTAAAATTTTAATCCTTCAAGATAAACTTCCGAAAACCCCCCCCCTTCCGATTTTAATAAAACTTGGTATACTTACGTAATTTCATGCGCTGATCACGAAAATGATAGTGAAAATTACCGCAAATTTCATTTTTATGGTGAAAACCATAAAAAACACCATAAAATTATGGTTTTTTGCGTTTAACTCGTAAAAAACGCAAAATTAAAAAAAATCGTTCTTACAAAAGTTGTAGAGCTTCTAAAAATGAACATTTTATGTCCTATACATTTTTTACCAAAAGTCATTAGTTTTCGAGAAAAATGCAAAATATTTAAAAACGGTGAAAATCACCAACTTCTAGCTATTATCCACAAGAGGCAGATGTCTTATGTGACGGACAATATCTTTTAATAAAAAACCTTCTACTCTTTGCTGTGCAGGGCTATTTCCAAAAGAACTTTTAGGGGAAGACATCTTGGAGGAGGGGGGTCGGGGTGGGTTCCGTACCTTCCAGTACCATTAAGAATGTGAATTTAACTGTCTGTTTTGAAAGAGAGCAACGATACTAGGGAAGGCGGGCTTCGCCCGCCTCTGCATTCTTTGCTGTGCAGGGCTACTTCCAGGGGGGAGGGGGGGAAGACATCTTGGAGGAGGGGGGTCGGGGTGGGTTCCGTACCTTTCAGTACCATTAAGAATGTCAATTTGACTGTCTGTTTTGAAAGAGAGCAACGATACTAGGGAAGGCGGGCTTCGCCCGCCTCTGCATTCTTTGCTGTGCAGGGCTACTTCCAGGGGGGGAGGGGGGAAGACATCTTGGAGGAGGGGGGTCGGGGTGGGTTCCGTACCTTCCAGTACCATTAAGAATGTGAATTTGACTGTCTGTTTTGATAGAGAGCAACGATACTAGGGATGGCGCGCTTTGCCCGCCTCTGCATTCACTGCTGTGAAGAGCTACTTCCAGGGGGGGAGGGGGGGAAGACATCTTATATATTATATATACATAATATATGTATAATATAATATAATATCATAATAATATAATATTCAAACAAATCAAATTTAATGTGCGATCTCTCAAAATTATCTTTATAGGAATTCCAGTTTCGTGGTATTAGTAATTTTTGTAGTGTGCTTTTCATGTTTCTGCATTTTTCTCGAAAACTAATGACTTTTGGTAAAAAATGTA